CCCCCCCGCTCCTTAATACTGCCTCCAGCCAGAGTCTGTGATTTACTGGTAATTTTAAAACTCTGGAAAGCTATGAGATAATTAAACATTGTGCAGGTCAATACGTAAAAGAGATCAAGTTCATAAATCACCATGCAGCAAGCTCAAAATTAAGTTCACGGATAGAAATTCCTAAAACATAGCAGTGTCTAGAGTACCATGGGAGAGGAGTCACACTGATGACGAGAACCAATACCCACTCGACTTTAAGAATTGACCTTCACCCAAAATGACCTTCCTCTGTTTCCAAGATGAGTACAGAATACTAATAACCCCTATAAACAGAAAACCATAATCTTGGTTTTACCTACTCCTTCTCTGGGACTCTAGAAAAGTTTCTCTCCAGAAAAAAGAACATTTCCAAATTCAGTCAGCCGATAACTTGGCAGCCACCCTAGTCTATCTGAATAGCTCCGAAACAACCCCCTCTCCTGTGCCTGTCAACTTCACTGGTCAAAGGCAATGGGCACTCGCTGACTCTCCTGAGGAGACGGGCCGAATCTAGAAGGCTAAGCGAAGGAGGAGCTTCATACCAACCTGTCGGTGATAGTAGACTGTGTGCCACTCATTGGGGCCCTTGGCGAGAGGTCCTCCTCTTATCCAACTTGCATTTTACAGTAACACCTCCACCCCACCCCCAATGCACTGGGATCAGGCCCAACACAAAAGTCCAACTCAAAACTCCATTCAGTCATCTAGAACATCCGATTGGAAAAGATCAAGGAAAGGGGCTATAGGTTGGAGCAAAAGAAGTTATCTCCCAAAACAAACCGAGAAAGTCAAGCTCGCCAGAAGGCGAGTTCTAAAGCTAGTGATAAATCCTCAAGAAGGCACAAGGAAAAAACTTCGTCACAGTGGGAAGTCCGCGAGCCGTGGGGACGGGGACCCGGGAATCCCTCCAGGAACTGGGGAGGGATTAGACCAGGGCTGAGTGTCGGCTCCTCCTCCGGGGTCTCGGGGGCCGCAAACTCCCGGCCGCGATAGGGCCGGGGCCCTCGCGTCTCCACTCTATCTGGGGCCGCCGGCGGCTCCTTGCTGCAGCCTCGGCAGCGTCTCGGGCAGTCCCGCGCCAGGCTCGCGCGGCTCCATGTCGCCGGGGCGGAGGACCACTCTCGTCTTCCTCACTGCCTCCACCAGGCTCCAGGCGCTGGGACGAGCTGCGGGTGCTGGGGAGCGAGAGGTGACAGGGACTTGAGTCTCAGCGCCGCGGGCTGCTCCCCATCCCTTTGGGCCCGGTCTCTTCCGCAGTCGGCAGAGGCGGCGGCGACGGCTCCTCCCTGACGCTCCGGTAGGCGGTGGTTCCCGCGAGGGGCGGGAGGTTCCCGTCCGGCCCGGCCTGGATGCTCCAGCCCTGGACGCCCGCAGGGGGAGGCAGCGGAAGCTCCCTCGCGCAGGCCCCGCTCGCCGGGTTCTGGGGTCCCTCGCGGGAGCGCGCGTGGAGGGTGGGGAGCACGCCGGCTTTGAGGGGGCCGCGCGACAAACTCCAAGCGCGCGCGCGGGTTCCGGTTCCGGTTCTGCCTTCCCGGCCCCAGCCCAGTCCAGCGCGAGCTCGCTTTCCCCTCCCCCGCCGACTTTTTTCGGCCTCCTTCCCTCTGACTTGGGAAGTTCGCCTCACTCGGGATCCCTCCGCCGCGCTCCGAACCGTCGCGCTGCGCTCGCCGGCCCGCGCGCGTTCTGAGATTTTGCGCCGCCCCCGCGCGGACGCCTCCGCCGGAGCCTTGTTTGGCGTAACGAAAAAGTAGTTCTACTGGGCAGAGGGAGGTGGGAACTCGCTGCCCGCAGCATTCCCACTCACCAACCACCGTCACCCCAAGCGCTGCGTTTGTGCCGAGCATCTGCGCTTTCGAACCTAAAGTGTACTAACTGAGCTTTAACTAGAGATCGCCAAAGAGCACTCCCCAATCCCGAGTTCATAGGAGCTCTTTGGCAACTCCCCCAACCTTGTCCTAGAAACTTTTATTCCTTGAGTGTACTGATTGCCCTTATATTCTAATAACACGTGTAGAATGCTTTTAACCGATGGACGTGAACTTAGGTCCAGGCGTCCGGACACTATCCCTCTCTTTTGAAGCTAACCCCAAGGAAAGAGAGGTTTTAGCTTTGGGCGCTCACCTGGGGCACCTGCTGGCCTGGCCCCGGGAAGAGGTCACCGCGCACAAATCCTAACTCCTAGGGGTGGGGGACCAGGGGCATAGATAAATAAGTGTAGGACTTGAGAAAAAAGAGGGTTTGGGAATTGGAGCCTCCTTGGAGCCAGGATTTCTTGGTATAAATATTGCTTTTAGCCTCTTTCTGCCTTGGCGAAATCAAATGTATTATTTGCCAAATTCTGAAAGCATGGTGCTTTCCACAACGACTTAACAAGCTTGCTGTAGAAAGAAAACAGGAGAAGAAAATAAAGCGTATTTATCCCGTAAGTAGCATTAAAGTTCTCTTTGAAGAGTTCCCAAATATTTTTTCGTTTTTTTTTCCCTCCCGAGTGGAGAGATTTAGATATCCATTTAGTTTTATGATTGAATAATTCAATATTGTGGCAATTTAATACATACATGCATATAGTTCTTTAATTCTGTTGCTAACATCTAAAATGGCTATCCCTTTTATCAGAGTTTTGAGTTTAAACCTGGGTCGGTGGGTGACTTCAGCCATTTTGTGGAAATCAAGTGGTAAATCAAAACTAATAAACATTGGATGTGGAGAGGAAACAATTACCTAACAATGCTGTTTCTAAGTCATTCCGAAACAGTTCACGAGAGGATCATTATCCCTGAATAGATGCATGAGCTAAGGCTGACGTTAGAACACGGAGGGAAAAAAATGAAAAGATAGAGGCCAGAGATGACTCTTTATTGCTCGATTTTTTAAGTTCAAGGCACAGCCAGCTAATTTTGTCATGTTTATTTTCGGAAAGAACAGAAGCAGATTAGGGTTCCAAGTCATTTTCCTAATGATCAGACCAGGGCACATTGCCACCTGCTGGTGTGTCCTAGCATGACAATTCTATCCTGAAAACTTAAGTTGTGTATTTTGTACATGTGACTGGAATGAGTGCCATCCTTCTGTATACAATGACCAAAATGCAAACTTTAGTTCCAGCTTAATTAATCTTTCTTAAATGCACTAAATATCTTATTTTCCTCTACTGTTATAATTTTTAAGTGTTTAAGTATCAAATTAATTGGACCAAATGACTCATCAAATCATGCATTTTAAAAATGAGTTCCCCTCTTCCCTTCATGAATGCCTCAATACTTGAGCTTCAGAAATAAAACAAACTGGGAAAGTTTCCTAATTCACCTTCTCTTCCTTGCATACAAAACCTCTTGGCAGGCTGCTTTCGAGATCTTTCCAAACTAAAACAGATCCCAGGTTCTAGCTGGGAGCAAAGAAGGCATTTTGCAGTGGGAAAGCTTCAGAAGAGGGTAAGCAAAGGACTTAATTAAACCAGTGGTTATTCATTCTAGAACTATTTTTTTAAATGATGAAAATCTCTATGTACACCCACAAAGCTCTAATGATTTAAAAAACGTCCCCTGGAAGCCTTTATGGCTATCTGTAGCTCTCCACCGTTCTAAAGTTTTTATCTATATGCTTTCAGAAGAGTCAAGCCAATGTAGGTAGAACACAGCCCCCGAGGTCAAGTAGTCCTTTACATAGAAAAGTGACATTGCTGACACAATCAAATTGGTGAGCTCAGTCTAATGGGGCTTATTCTAAACCACATTCTAATCTCTTCATTCACTATTTCAACATGTTTATAGAGTACCTACTATGTGTCCAAGAGGGCAGTGGTAGAATTTTCACCTTCCACGCAGGAGACCCAGGTTTGATTCCCAGCCAATGTACCTCACGCACAGCCACCACCGTCTGTCATTGGAGGCCTTCTTGTTACTATGATGCTAAACAGGTTTCAGCAGAGCTTCCAGACTAAGACTACTTCCAAAAGTCAGCCAATGAAAACCCTATGATCACAATAATCCAATCCATAACCAATCATGGGATAACACTGTCGACTATGCTGCATTTTGCTTCACTGTGCATGGGGTTGCAGTGAGTGGGGGGCCAACTTGATGGCAGCTAACAACACCACCACCATGTGTTTAACACAGTTCTAGGCAATGGAAGTGCAGTCTGAAGAGAGCCAAAGGTTCTGTCTTCTTCACGGAGCTCATCTGACATTTTCAAAGCAACTGCCCAAACAGGTAGGAGAACAAGGAAGAAATTAAGTTCTTCTGTCTTTTGGCAAACTGCTTTATGTAGCTAGATTGTTCCCCTCCCCCCCCAATAAAGAATAGCGGGAACGGCTGATGATAAACAGCAGACAAGAAGTATTGCACTGATAAGCTGAATATGAGTCAACATTTCTCCAGGCCAAAAGGCTTTTTTATTTTAATATTCTTGTTAAAACCACAATAAAAATATAAAAGTAGATGCTGGAGTGATATAAAGTTCTTTATTTTTATAAAATTTAGTACAAATGTTATATATAAATCCTTCTTGGGCAATATTAGTAATTATTACATAGTAATTCAAATGTAAATGAGTACTTCATTTTGTTTGACCATACCACAGGTTAATTAGCCCTTCATTTACCCGTGATGTAAAAACTCAGCATCTTAACTGCTGAGTCATCTTCATGTCACATTTTCTTCTCAGAGAGGTTTCCTCATAGTTATTAATTACAACATCAAATAAAGCTGAAATAAGGAATTCCCTTTCGCTTACCAATTATTCTGGTTTCTCATCATTGAAAAAAATCTATGTACATTCCCATGAGAGTGCCCCAAAATGGCAAGACTGCAAACACTTTACTTCTAAGGAGTAAGGAAAAAAGAACTGGTACCAGATTAAGCCTATTCATTTGTCTGGTATGGAACAGGTTACACTGTGCCAGAATTCAAGAGCCAGCTTTTTTTTCATTTTCTTTTTTTTCTGAAGCTCATGTGCCAAGCCACTCTTTTTTCACTAGGCTTTTTGCTAAAAATCAGCATTCCCCAGCATCCTACTTCGACCACAAATTTGTTGGAAAGCTCACCAGCATTTTAGGGATACTGATCACAGAAAAAGGAGCGCTGGTGGCATAGTGATTAAGTGATCGGCTGCTAACAGAAAGGCGAGTGGTTGGAACCCACTAGCCACTTTGCTCCACAGAAGAAAGATGTGGTAGCCTGCTTCTGTAAAGATTTCCAGCCTTGGAAACCCTGTGGGGCAGTTCTACTCTGTCCAATAGGGTCGCTATGAGTCGGAATCGACTCGATGGCAGTGAGTTTTGTTTTTGTTTGTTTGTTTGATCATAGGAAAAAAGGAGGTGGAGAAGCTATCAGATTATTTTAATGCCCAGCAAAACTCTCTAACCAAATGGCAGCATTATAAGAATCACTGTGCACATGCCTTTAAAGTTGCTTTTCCCATGGCACGGATGACTTTCTGCAGTTCCAGTCACTCCTTCATGCCTGGTTTCTGTGACCAATGACATCCACTTTCAAGACCACTCATTAGGTTAGTATTACCAGTGACCCTGGAATGGACTGACACTTCATGCTCACCTTCAGCCTTGACTTCAATAGCACCAAACACTTGCTCACCAACTGAGCTAATCACCCACTGGTCTAAATAACAGAGTTAAATAAATAAATAATAAATAAATAAATACTTCATTTTCCCATAAAAGGACTACCATTAGTAAAATGCCACACAGTATGTCTATGAAATACACAATGGCACATTTCATTCACTCACAACAGGGTTTAAGCTGAGGCAAAGAGTAAACAAGTGACCCACCCAAATTACCTGGCAAGTGAGTAGCAAAATCAGTTTATAACCCAGAAATTCTTAATTCCTAACCCCGTTATAAGTTTATATTTTTGTTTCTCCTAGGTGAGATCAGAGACTTTTGCACTAAGAAATATTCTTTATCCTTCCAAGACTGGCCTTGTCATAATACTTGGTCCATAGAGAGTGGCACCATTTTAAGAGAGGAAGAAGAAAAAATAGTAAGAGGACTAAAAGGGAATAAATCTGAAAGGAACAACAACAGAAGACGCCTTATCACCCTGAGGCCAATGCACAGGTATTCTTTAAAGTCTTTGGTTCTAGTTCGCAGTATGTACAGCAGAGCTGAAACCTAAACTGCCATCTCAAGCACAGTGGAATCCACATAGTAAATCCCTATGGAATTTAGTCATAGCCTCTCATGCTTAGGAGATTAATGCACAAAAGCCTTGAGAACCGGCATACAGTTTTCCTGGTTGGGCAGAAACTGTACAATAGGACTCAGTAAATCTGCCCACCCAACATTCATCTCGCATCCAAAGCTCTAACTATATAGCTTTTGTGCAAAAAACAAGTTAACATAGCAGGCCTAAACTGCCATCCTTGGATTCCAGGCCTGCTTGCTAGGTTGGTCCCACATCTGGGAACTTATGATTTCGAGAGGCTCACTGTGCCTAAACTATTTGTGCAAACAATGTGGTTTATGCTGAACACCAGCTTTCTTTCTGGGAGTGACTCTGGAATTCTGGTATGTGCCAGGCAGAGGTGCCTACACGATCAGCCCTAAATACAAACCCTGGTCACTGAGTCCCTAGTGAGCTTCCCTGGTTGGCAACATTTCATACTTGTTATCACAACTCAGTGATGGAGGAATTATGCACATCCTGTGCAACGTAGTGGTTAAGAGCTATGGCTGCTAACCAAAAGGTCGGCAGTTTGAATCCACCAGGCACTCCTTGGAAACTCTATGGGGAAATTCTATGCTGTCCTATAGGGTCACTATGAGTTGGAATCGACTCAGCAGCAATGGGTTTGGTTTTGGTTTTGTGCGACTCCACTGGGAGAGGACTCTGGAAGCTTGTGCCTGGTTTCTCCTGGACTTTGCCCATGTGCCTTTTCTCTTTGCTGATTTTTCTTTGTAACCTTTTGCTGTAACAAATCACGGCCATGAGTACAACTATATGCTAAGTCCTGTGAGACCTTCTAGCAAATGACTGAACCTGGCGGTGGTTTTGAGGACCTCTGTCACAATTGGGATGGGGGAGTTCAGTAAGTACCCCACCACCACTGCCACAGTTTCACCCCATCCTTCTAGCCCCCTTTATTTAAGCAGAGGGCAAGTTTGGCTTCCCTGATCCAATGCTCAGAATGCCAAAGGCATGTATCTTCCTAAAAGTCTCTAGCTTTATAGCAAATGGGATGAACTTATTTATTTAAATATTACATGGAAAGCAGGAGTAAGCATTTGTTGGAGTCACTCCTCTAAGGAACAAGGAAAATATGGCACTAATCCTTCTCAACTTCCTTTCTAAGTTATCTAAACATCAAGCCTCTCAGGGGTAAAAGGACCCAGGGTCACCACAGACTAAAATGTATACAGTAATGCTCATATAGTTCTGACTCACAACCACCACTAAATATTCTCACTTTCTACAACTGTGCCACTATAGAAGTTAGTGTTTTAATACTGGTATAGGCTTGGTTCAAAGACTGACCACACTGATGAATAAATTTAGCCCTTTTTTATAACCTAAGTTTGTTATAAGCATGATTCCATAACAGCCATATTTTCAACCTGGTTCCCAGAGCTGACTTAACCCAATCCATTGTCTGGAGCAAGCTTTGGCTAATGAGTCTTGAGAAGTCCATTATGTTTTAACTGTCGCTCCTCACTCCGCCTGCTTCTCCAGGCATGGTACTTCTTGATGCTTTTTCGCCATGCAAAGCGCCAGATGCTAAACATGAAACACCAAGACACAGCATACATAGCTACTCCCCCAACCTTCACGAACCACTTGGGTTTGGGTGAGACCATTTCACAGAAAAGGAGGCGAGCTCCTACACCAATCCGCACTCCAGTGAACAGAGCCACAAAGAGGAAGTCCACCACATCTCCAGTGAAACTGTGGTAGTGCCCTATTTCACGGAGAAACCAGCGCATCTGCAGCAAGGGATTGGTAATCTCACTTCCAAAGAGGACTGCATTGACCTCTGTGCCGGACTCTCCAAGCATGAGGGCCATGATGATGCCCAAGATACTCAGTGTGTGGTGAGCCAGCATCAGGGCACCCTCAGACTGGAAGTAGATGCACCAGCCCAGGTCAAAGATGAAGTAGCCCAAGGTGAGACACAGAACGTGCACTTGGAGAGGTGTATTGGGTGAGCCTGGAACAAATCAAGACAGATGTAAATTGAGTGACTAGGAATTATACTATGTTGCACAGAGATCCTGTGTTGTCTCTCAAACCTTTCTGAATCACAGAACACAAAGGCAATGGTAGGCACATGCTTTTTAAGGACAGCCAAACATAGACTACAATTGAAAACGTTGGTCTTTACCTAACCAAATGACGTTGCAGGCCCCAGGAAATGCTGTTCTGATGAATCAGATCTCAATGACTGATTTAAGCTCAGGCAATTATTTCAGTTCCTCTCTATGGAACAGCATAAAATCAAGTTATTTTGTTCTTTCAATTAAAACCCTTCGTTGTGTTTTGTTTTGAACCAGCTAAAGGTCTGTTTCCAGACTCTTGAGTCATTCTGTTCTGAATGCTGGATTAATTTCTTAGCTTACTGAATTGGTTATCAGATACTGGTGGAGAAGCCTAGAAGTTAGTGTGTTCTTGTACCCAAGAACACAGGGTACAGGGACCTGAGATGTTCAAATCCATTAAAAACATTCATATAAAATATAAAGCTTAAGAGTTGCTTTTATCTCAGTTTGAAAGTTGTGGGGAAAACTCAGAAGCTCAATATGGGGATCTAAAGAAATTTTAAAAAGGAATCTAAGGAATTTTTTTCTTAAATCATATTCCAGGGTACAATTTTTGTATACTAAGGAAGTAACACTTGTATAGCCAGCAGCTTAAAAATATAGTTACTCAAAATAATGAGGCATTGGTTAAATAAATGACGGTAAATTTGATAAGAGATAACATTATATAACAATTAAAAGATAGCTAAGCACTCAGCTGCTAACCAAAAGGCTGGCTGTTCAAACCCACTCAGTGGCTCCATGGGAGAAAGACCTGGTGATCTGCTCCCATAAAGATTACAGCCAAGAAAACTCTATGGGTCAGTTCTACTCTGTTACGTGGGGTCACTATCAGTCGGTATCAACTCAGTGGCACACAGCAACAGCAACAATATTCACAGACATGGAAAGGATGCTCACTGAGTATTCAATTCAGTAAAACTGCAGGTTACCAAAACGTATATATTTTACAGTTCCATTTGTATCTGTTTGGGGGGATATTGATATTAGCTTTCTGTTTTGCACATTTCTGATGGATTAAATTGTAATAAACAATTTAAATTTTGTTTTAAAAGTAGAGAGTTATGTGGTGGGAGAGAGGGGGAAAGAGGGAGTTTTTGTTTAGGGGGCACTGAGGTTATGTTAATGGTGGTGGAATGATTTGGAAAAGGATAGTGAGAATGGTTGTATTAACTTGAAGAATGTAAACAATGTTACTGAATTGTACATGAAGAAACTGTTGAGATAGCATATGTTTTGTTATATGTATTTCACCACAATAAAATTTTTTAAAAAGTAGAGTTATGAAAAGAAGAAATAGGTGAAATATACCAGAGTTAACAATGAAGAAGAATGAAGACTCCCAATGCAAATTATAATGTGAATTATTCTTCAGTATTGCACAAATTCTGTGAAAAAGTCCCATCTTTCTAACCACCACTACCAGTTGCCTTGTTGTTGAATCTGACTCATAGCGACCCCATGTGTGTCAGAGTATAACTGTGTTCCATAGGGTTTTCAATGGCTGATTTTTCAGAAGTAGATGGCCAGGGCTTTCTTCCAAGGTGACTCTGGGTGAACTCCAACCTTTCAGTTAGCAGCTGAGCACTTAACCATTTGTACCACCCAGGGACTCCCCCATCCTTCTAAGACTCATAAATCCCCAAGGCAAAATTCCCTTAAGGTCCTCCACCTACCTGGGTGGGTAAAAGGCCAAGGGCCATCAATGAAGCCAATATAAGCCGAGAGGCCTATAGAGAGGACTCCATGGGTGAATGTAACCAGCCGGCAGCTCCACTCATAGCTTCGGTGCTTATTCAGGTGGCAGAAAGAAATGTAGAGCGAGAGCCAGCCACACAGGCTGCACAGCACCTGCAGACACAGAGCTAATGCCATCCTATGATGAAAAGACCAAAACCAGAAAAACAAAGGATGTACCCTAAGAAAACAGCATTGGGTTGTTTTGTGTATATGTCTTCGTTTCTTCTGCAGAATAGCACAAACATATAGCTTTCACTGAAACAGTCTTCCTTATCACAGAGCCAAGAATCTTCTACTTAAAATATGGCTATATTTCTGCATCCATGTTCCTGACAGATAACATGTCAAGTAGTGAAAGCTGTAAACTGCAGAGCAGGAACCATACTGATTGGTAGACTAACATAACGTGCTGTTACAATGAGTGAATGTCAGTAATAACCCTCCAGTGATGACTGACCTAGGACAATAATACACGCATATTATAATACATGTACTAGATAACATGTTCACATTTCAAAACTCCTAAAGAGAAGCTCTCATGAGAAAAACAACCATCACTTGTGGGCTCTGACAGAGGTCACATGACACATGGCAGTTTATTATAGTTTTAAGGAAAGATTTCACTTTGAAGGCTAAGGTGCGCCTGACCCAAGCCATGATATTTTCAATCACCTCATACGCATGCGAAAGCTGGACAGTGAATAAGGAAGACTGAAGAAGAATTCATGCATTTGAATTATGGTGTTGGCCAAGAATATTAAATATACCATGGACTGCCAGAAGAATGAATAAGTCTGTCTGGGAAAAAGTACAGTCAGAATGCTCCTTAGAAGGGAGGATGGCAAGACTTTGTCTCACGTACTTTGAACACGTATCAGGAGGGATCAGTCCCTGAAGAAGGACATCATGCTTGGTAAAGCAGCGGGTCATTGAAAAAGAGGAAGATCCTCAATGAGATGGATTGACACAATGGCTGCAACAATGGGCTCAAACACAGCAACAGTTGTGATGATGGTGCAAGACCGGGCGGGGTTTTGTTCTGTTGTACACAGGGTCGCTATGAGTGAGAACCAACTCGATGGCACCTAACAACAACACTCAGCTGAGGTTTGGATTTGGGTCACAGGTTTATTAGTCGAAATCAAAACATGGGATAAACCTAAATACAGAAGTAAACAAAGATTCCAGGCATCCTAGAAGGGAAAAAAATAAAACAAAATCTGAGTTCTATTCAGTTCTCAAACCCAATTCAAAGATTTACCAAGGGAGAAGCAGAAGGATTTGGAGGTATAAGGGGAGTTTTGTTGAGATAAAGAAATGTCTTTAAGGCAATTATTTAGTTAAAAATGAAACCATGTCAGAAAGCTACGCTTTGGAATTTTTACTGGTTGACAAACACATCAGGACAAGAACAATTGTAACTGAATCGATTTAGCATGCAAGACTAAAATCTAAAAATGACCAAGGCATTGTTATTAATATTCATTAGCTCCTCTATTGAAAGTACATATTAAAAAAATGAAAACATTTCAGATATCTGTCTCATCTTAGCAGGAATTTTCTGCATAGCTACACTTATTGCTTAACCCTATTCTGACAAGCAAAACAGTATCTTCAGACCACTAGACCTCAATATGCAGCCACTCCCAAGAATGCCATTCAGAGAGGGTGCTATGAAGGCCCAGCTCTGTACAACTTTTAGATGAAATCAGATTTCTATTAAAGAAAACAGTAGGTGTCAATCATTGACCTGAGTTCTAATTTTGTCTCTGCCTCTAACTAGCCGTAAGAGTGTGGACAAGTCACTAGTCTCTGGAGCTTCGATTTGAAAAAAAAAAAAAGGGAAAGAAAGAAAGAAGAGAGGATTGAAGAATTCTGTGGTTAGGTCCAGTTTTGACACAAAGTTCTGAGATAGGTTTTGTAAAAGAGCTAGGCCAATGTTCAAAGCAAGAGCCAGAAATGCAAAGTGACCGAGAATGAAAAGAACCATCCTCCCATGTTTCCTTTTAAAGGCCAGGGCAACCGGCCAGTAATGCGGATCAGCTCATCTGGATATGCCGATTAGTGTTTTTAGAGTACTTGTCTCTGAATCCTAATTCCCTGGCAGAACAGAAGAAACAGTAATCCATTTACAAACACCTAAATAAAAGAAAAGACATTTGTAAATGACAGATATAACTCTGTGACCTTGGGAAAGCCACTCTATCTCTGGGTATCCGCTTCCTCTTGTGTAAAAGAATGTAAGGGTATTTAGATGGCCATTCCAGCTCGAAAGCCCAAGGCTCCTCTCCTCTCTTCTCCCATTCCTGGTCCAGATTTGGGAGGCGGAGCGCTGGGCGGGCCCACCTGGCTCTCGGCCTCGGAGCAGGCGGGGCTGGCAGCGAGCTACAACGTTGGGCGCCTCGTAGGTACCACGGCCGCATCTCCACTAGGACGTGCCCTACAGACTGCCACGCCGGGCTCCGGAGGACCGGAGCCAGACCGTTATCCAGGCATCCGGCCGGGCGCCGAGAGCCTGGCACGGAAAGGCCTCGGGCGCCCAAAGGCAGGAGGATGCCCCGTCCCCTTCAGAGGCCCACGCCAGACCATCTCCCCGCCTCCTTCCCACCAGGGAGCCGGGCAGGGCAGGGATTCCCGCGCGGTGCTCATCCCCGCCAGCCCTTCCTCCCGTGGGAGCCTGCCAGGCCGGGCGGATCGCGCTGCGCTGTTACCTGGCTTAGTACTCCAAGAAGCCTTGGGCGCCCCGGCGCCCAGAGCTCAGGGCCCGGATCCCGGGAACAGGAAGTAGCGGAACGAGGGGAGAGGAGAAGGAGGTGACGGCGTAGGAGGAGGAGCTGGGGGTCTGGGGGCATCTGGTGGCTGGAGGACGGAGCGCAGAGCGGAAGCTCAGCGTGGGGCGTTCAGAAATCTAGCTGGAGGCTCCTCCTTCTTCGCGCAAGAGGGGGCCAGGATGTAGGGGGTTGGGGGAGAGGGGAAGGCGATCTAGTAGTCACCTGAGACCTGCAGGCTGATGTTCTTGTCTGTTTGTTTGTTGTCTGGTTGGTTCATTATCCATCCCCGCCCCCAGGATGCAGTAACCATTTATTGACACCTACTGCGTGTTGGCACCACTACTAGGCACTGTGGCAGATGTTAAAGACAGTCCCTGCCCTCCTGTTTGCAATGTAAGTGTGAAACAAGCACACACATAGCTATTTCCAGGAAAATACACTGGCCTGGGAATTAAATGTTACTCCTAATTTCAGCCATGATACCAACTTGTCAGTTTAGCGTAAGGGTTAAGAGCAAATCTTGCTTGGCCAGTGACTGTGTGCCCTTGGGCAAGTTATTTAACTTTTCTGTGCCTCTGTTTTGTCATCCATACAATGGGGGGTAGTAATAATACCTATCTCATAAGGTTATTGCACCAATTTTTTTAAAATTACATTTGTAAAGTGCTTAGAACAATGGTTGACACGTTGTTAGTTGCTGTGGAGTCAGCTCCGACTTACTGCAGCCTTCTCTATAACAACAAAACATTGCCTAGTCCTGCGCCATCTTCATGATTGTTGGCATGTTTGAGTCCATTGTTCCGGCTATTATGTCAATCCATCTCACTGAAGGTTTCCCTCGTTTTCGTTGGCCTTCTACTTTACCAGACATGATATCCTTGAAGTCACCATATAAATGTTAACTGTGGTTGTTGCTATTTCACTTTGGGTAAATCCTTTCTCCATTCTGGGTTTCTATATTTTAATACCTAGAAGAGTAAGTTTAAAGAGATGACCAAACATAAGTATGGAGGTTCAGATGGGTTAAAAGAGGGCATCTGATTTGGTTGATCAGGACAGGCAATGAAGGGGTGCTGAGGGGCCCAGACATTCTTAAAAAGAGAATACCTTTAAACAGAGGTGTGAACGTTTAGGCCATGTCTGGGGAATAATAAATAGTCTAGTTTTGGTAGTTTTTTTTTTCTTGCCAACCCCTCAAGGACAAGGATGGCACCATATTCATCTTTCTTTCCCTAGTACCTGTGCAGTGCAATAAGTTTCTTTTTATATATGGGCTTTCAGGCCTTGGGTTTATAATTCTGCCAAAAATGATTGGTTGGGCCACAATCTTGCAAGGGATTGGTCCGTTACTATGCAAATAGTAGCTTGAAAATCCACCCAGTAGAATTTACTTACAGTCCAGCTAGGAGATGTGTCCTGCTAGGCTTATGTAAAGGCCAATCCCATGAGGTTCAGGGGGGACCTCCCTACCATCAAGAAGAGTCTGGAGCAGAGTGTATCCTTTGGACCCAGGGTCCATGCACTGAGAACCTCCTAGACCCAGAAAAGAGAGCTATAACAATGAAGATGGCAAGAAATGGTAGCAAGCACAGCAGAGCCCAGCAGCGGAGAAACAGTGGCAGCAGTATGAGCAGCAGAAACCAGGAGACTGGCACGAGACAATGTGGTGGGCTTACTGGCCCATCAAGAGAGAGAGATGGCTGGGGTAAGCTTGCCTGCCCACAGAGAGCGAGCTGAGCGCCTTCAGGCAGGAGACTTGCTAGCGGAGCTAAAGAGCTTAACTCTTGTCGTAGCAGGGCAGAGGCCAAGAGGAGGGCCTGGCCTGCAGGCATGGGTGAGAATGAGCTGAGAGCTGTCCTGGTTGGAAGCTGTCCAGATTGATTGATGATGAAGTTGATCCTTTCTCCTGAGTTGTATCCAGTTACTTCCAAGTTGATCCTGATCCCAAGTTATAGCCTGTTCTGTGGAGTTGATTGCAACTCATAGCGACCCTATAGGACAAAGTAGAACTGCTCCATAGGGTTTCCAAGGAGTGGCTGGTGGATTCGAACTACCAAACTTTTGGTTAGCAGCTGAACTCTTAACTACTGCACCACCGGGACTCCTATAGTCTGTTACTTCCCTAATAAACCATATAACTGTGAGTATGGTCTGTGAGTTCTATGTGGCCATTGCAATGAATTATTGAATCCAGCAAAGAGGTAGACATTGCCATAGGAGGGATGGCTGGTGTCATAAATGGTGAAGAATTTGGAGAGTGGAGGTATGTCTGAACTCCACCTCATAGGAACCAGCTTTGTGCTGATACTGATTCTTTTTTTTTTTTTTTTTTTTGAACCCAAAGCATTGTATCTGGTATTTATTGGCTGATACTGATTCTTATCCCTTGAGAATCTAGCAGAGTTCAGGTGATGCTAGATTACAACCTGGTATGAGGCAGGTGCAGTAAATACTTGCTGGTTGAATGAATGGGAAATGAGCCTGGAAAAGTACATTGGAAGAATATTGTGGTTCCTAAATCTTGTTGATCATGTGTAGCACTTGGGAAATGTTTTCAAAATACCCTTGTACAGGCTGCACCCTGAAGATTGTATAGGGGCACAGGGATCTGTATTTTTTTAAAACCTGTTCAGGTCATTCAGATGATCAGTTACTCTTGAGAACCACTGATGTTAGAGGACCAAAATACCAGGTAAGGTATTTTATCATGTAGATAACAGGGAGCCTATGATGTTATTGAGCAAGGGAATAATATTATCATGTTCTCTAAGGTCTTGCTACTCAAAATGTGGTCCATGAACCAGCAAAATCTGCATCACCTGGGAGTTCGTTAGATACTCATACCCTAGCCCCAACCTAAAAAAACAAAAACCTAAATCAGTTGCCTTTGAGACAGTTCTGACTCATGGAACCCCACGTGTTTCAGAGTAGAGTTGTGCTCCATAGGGTTTTCAAGGCTGTGACCTTTCAGAAGAACATCACCAGGCCTTTCTTAGGCATCTCTGCGTGGACTGGAACCGCCAACCTTTTGGTTAATAGTCGAGTGCTTAACTGTTTGCACCACCCAGGGACTCCTAACTTCAACCTACTGAATCAGAATCTGCATTTTAACAAGATTCCCAGTGATTTATATGGACATTTCAGCAGTGGTTCTCAACATTGATAACATAGTAGGATCACTTGAGGAGTTTTCTAAAAAAATTCTAATGCTGTATACTTAAAAATGGTTTAAAATGGCAAATGTTTTGTTATGTATACTTTACCACAAAAAAGGGAAGATAACAGGTGTTGGCAAGGTTGTGGAGAATCTGTACTCTTATGCATTTCTGGTGGGAATGTAAAATGGTGCAGCCATTGTAGAAAACACTTTGGCGGCTCCTTAAAAGTTAAACATAGTTACCTTACAACCTAGCAATCCTACTCGTAGGCTGTTGTTAGGTGCCATTGAGGTAGTTCCGACTTGTAGCGACCCTATGTACAACAGAATGAAACACTGCCTGGTCCTGCGCCATCCTCACAATCATTGTTATGCTTGAGCCATTGTTGCAGCCACTGTGTCAATCCATCTCTTTGAGGGTCTTCCTCTTTTTCGCTGACTCTCTACTTTACCAAGTATGATGTCTTTCTCCAGGGACTGATCCCTCCTGATAATATGTCCAAAGTATGTGAGACATAGTCTCGCTGTCCTTGCTTCTAAGGAGCATTCTGATTATACGTCTTCCAAGGCAGATTTGTTCATTCTTTTGGCAGTCCATAGCATATTCAATATTCTTTGCCAACACCACAATTCAAAGGTGTCAATTCTTCAGTCTTCCTTATTCACTGTCCAACTTTCACATACATATGAGGTGATTGACCCATGGCTTGGGTCAGGTGCACCTTAGTCTTCAAGGTGACATCTTTACTTTTTAACACCTGAAAGAGGTCTTTTGTAGCAGATTTGCCCAATGTAATGTGTTTTTTGATTTCTTGACTGCTGCTTCTGTGGGTATTGATTGTGGATCCAAGTAAAATGAAATCCTTGACAACTTCAGTCTTTTATCCGTTTATCACAATGTTGCTTATTGGTCCAGTTGTGAGGATTTTTGTTTTGTTTATGTTGAGGTGTAATCCATATGGAAGGTTGTGGTCTTTGATCTTCATCAGTAAGTGCTTCAAGTCCTCTTCCCTTTCAGCAAGCAAGGTTGTGTCATCTGCATATCACAGGTTGTTAATGAGTCTTCCTGCAATCCTGATGCCCCTTTCTTCTTCATATAGTCCCCCTTACTCCTAGGTATATACTCAAAATAATTGAAAACAGGGACTCAAACAGATACTTGTATGCAAATATTCATAGCAGCATTATCCACCAAAAGGTGGAAGCATCCCAAATGTCTATCAGCAGATCAATGGATAAACAAGATGCGGTATATACATCCAGCGGAATAATGTGCAGCCATAAAAAGAATGAAGTTCCGATATATGCTACAACAGGAATGAACTTTTAAGACATTATGCTAAGCGAAATGAGCCAGACACAAAAGGACAAATAATGTATGATTCCACTTATATGACGTATCTAGAATAGGCAAATTCATAGACACAGAAACTAGAATAAAGGTTGCCAGGAGTTGGGGGTGGGGATGATGGGAAGTAATTATTTAATGGGTGTAGAGTTTCTGTTTAGGATGATAAAAAAAAGCTCTGGAAATAGATAGTGGTGATGATTACACAACATTGTGAATGTACTTAATGTCACTGAATTCTACACTCTAAACTGGTTAAAATAGTAAATTTTGTGTTATGTATGTTTTACCACAATAAAAAAAAAAAAAAAACATATGCCACGCTAGATAAAGTAAACCAGAATCTCTGTTTGGGACACAGGTGTCAATCTTTTCTTAAAGATTCCCTAGATGATTCCAATGTGCAACCAAAGTTGAGAACCCCTGCTATAGGGAGGCTCAACTAAAAACAGTATACAACAGTATACGATGAATTGGAGAAGAAAGCTTGTTTCAAAGGTGTTAGAATAGACCAAACAAGACGTAATGATAGCCTAAAGAAAAAATGGAGAGATCCATTTCACTAAACGGATAGTATGCAAATCTCAACTTTTTTTTATTCATTTTTGTTGCAGTACTTTTCTTTTTTTTTTTTTATCTTTATAGCATCTGAATCTAGGGGTTTCTTCTTGCTGCCACTATTTCCCATGAAAGAATGGAGTATTAAAGGTTCTGGGGGTCTTAAGGCTAAGGGAATAACGGAGGGTGCTAGGTCTTCCAGTGGGGCCTTTATCTGGCTTTTATTCAAGGGTGATTGGAATTCCAGGTTCAAGCTTCCTTACCTGGGATTAAATTTGTTAATTTATATATCTTTGGCCATAATCCTTGTTCCACCAAATCAGATCTTTGTCAACAATGGTATCCCCCAGAAAAGTTCTCCCCACCAATTTAATAACAATGACAATATCATAATGATTACAGATAATACTGACATCGCACTTGTTATGTATCAGGCATTGTTTCAAGCACATTACATATATTAACTCATTTAATCCTGACAACAACTCTGTAGTGTGGGGACTATTATTATCCCCATTTTAGAGGTGAGAAACTAACTAAGGCATAGAGCAGTCAAGGAATTTGCCCAAGGTGACACAATTAGTATGAGGCAGAGTTGGGTACGAACTCAAGCAATGTGACTATTGAGGGTGTGCTGGTAGCTACCAGATATGCTGCCTCCACTGGACTAGAATCTCCTACAGGTGTGTACTGTATTCTCCTGTATTCACAGCATTTACATCAGTGAAGGGCATTGGAAGGTGTTTAGAAAAAACAAAGAAATTCAGTTTTTAAAAATCTGAATTGCCTATTATGTGTTAGTTACAATGTTAGGCATGGAGATACAGAGAGAAAAAAGACAGCCTTGACTACAAGGCGCTCACCACAGTCTAGGGGAAGAAGCAGAAGAGTCACCATATTCAGTACGTGAGATGGTTATGCACACAGTGCACCTGAAGGGGGTGTACTGAGCCTGGAAACCTGGGGGCTCATGGTAGGATTCCTAACTGGAGTCCTGGGACTAAGCTCATCCTCTGAGTTGGACAAAAGTCCTCAGTCTTGGGAGCTCATAGCTGAGCCCACCAGTCTTGAGTCAACTAAAGATTAAAGTATAAAAAAAACTGAAAAGCAGTAGCAACAATCTTTTCCCCCTTTCTTTCTTCCTAGACAGTGATTAGTTGTCATTGTACTAGGTTCTCTTGTGCCTAATTAAATGCTGAAGAAGCTAAACTTAAACTTCATTGGAATTATGGGTTTTATGGAATCATGTAGACATTGAAAGGCGAATCTGTGCTCACTTTTAGGTTTGACTTTGTTCAGCAACTGACTCAAGTCCATGAGCAATGGAAGCTACTGGAGGCTGAACAGCTAGGCTACAATTGTGTTTATTTCTCTCATAATTAAAAGCCATGTACAGATGAATGAAAACTAGAGTCTTGGACAGTGCAAGAGATCTACTTTCAGTGCTCACCTGAGCAAGATATCAAGGTAGCCAGGATCACTGCAGGAAGGGGTAGGCTCCGGCATCCACGGGTACCAAGAAAGAATGCACACATGTATGCATTGTATGTGTGCACCAGTCTCTTACCTACTCTGCCCCCAATGTAAGCAATAAACAATGCACCAATTTGGAACGTTATTCCCATCTTGTTTCATTATATGCACTAACATTCTCCACCCCCCACCACCAACAGAAAGACACAGAACAATAATCGAAACCTCTTATCAACAGTTGAATAGTTTATGTAATCACTATACAAATTTGTTTAGGAACATAGAGATTCTTTTGAATCTCAACATTTTCCTGGATATGCAATCTTTAAAAAAAGTTACCATTTCTAGAATGGCTTCATGTTACATCTCTACACACTGGCCCACAAAGAAGAAGACTCTAGAGATATGTTCCCAAAGAAGTCAACAAAGACCCCCACCTCATGTGGGAACTCTGTGGAAGCTAGCACAACATTTCACACTTTGGTATTTTTCCTTTTCTTTTTTAAAAAGAAGATAAAATATTACAGAGATGTCTTCAAAATTCACACCTGAGTTAAACATGTTGCTGAAAAACTCCACATAAAGGAGAGAAGAAGAGAATGCAAAAACAGGAAAGGGCTATATACAGGTATTTTGCCACCATAATTGTGTGTTTGCTTTTGTGTTCTTCCTTCTGCAGCCGGGAGAAGAGGAAAAGGACAGGATATGGAGAAACAAGGAGAGGGAGAAAAAGAAACATGGAGACGGAGAGCTTGCCGAAGCTCTGGGGCAAGGCAAGCAGACAGAAGAGCACCTGTGGATGAGAAATGTGCCCAGGGGACCAGGGGTGGCTCAGCCTTCTAGAAAGAGGAGGGAACTTGGAGAATACAATAACGAATGGATCTGGTTCTAGAAAACAAGGAGTTAAAGAGAAAATGGAGTAAAATGAAGAATCAGTCAGAAAACTGCTGAACAGAGAAAACATCAAAGCTTTGGTGGAAACATCAGATTCCAATCTTTTCACAGGTTTTGGGATCCGTTCAGGGATTGTGGCTAAGTTCAGAGTCAAAACGATTATCTCCCCTTCTGGTAGTTGGGCACACGAGGCAAATAGCTATCTCCAGAATCCCATAGATGACTTGGAGAATAATGGCCAAGAAGTCCTTTCTCTGAAAGACTATTGCCACAGTGAAGCCATCTAAAATATTTAGAACTAGAAGACAAGGGCAAGGAAGGTAAAAGTGGCAAACTCCTAGCAAGGGATATATATTTCAAGAGCATTAAGAGTCAGCACATGGTTCAATCACAGTTTGGATCTCCGGAGGCCCTTGCTCCTGAAGAAGGCAAGAGTGTGGGTTCATTGGTAGTGGGGATTCTCCTCCACTCTTCTTAAAGCAATCTGTCCATGCATAGAAGGTGTGACTCCCTTCCAGTGGGGAATACAGGGCCAGGTGGAGTAGGAAAAAATTTTTGGTCTCAGTGGAGGTAGGTGGGATGATTCCATCGGTACCAAGATCTGGAAGGAAGGAAGAAACAAGTCAATCAAAAAGCTCTTACTGTGATGGAGGAAGGTGAGAATAGGGAGTGTCTAGCACAGGTATGGAGTTTCTTTCTGGGGTGATGAAAATGTTCTGGAATTAGATAGTGGTGATGGTTGTCCAAGCTTGTGAATATACTAAAAACCAATGAATTGTACGCTTTAAAATGGTGAACTTTATGGTATGTGAATTAAATCTCAATTTAAATTTTTTTTTTAAAGCAGTAATGTATATTATATGATTTCCCCTTTTTTGGTGGGGGTGAGTGAGGAGCTCCACCTTTTTGGGCTGTGCATCAATTGGCCAGTAAAAGCTGGCTGCCCTGCTAGACTGCCTTGGTTTGAACAAGTGGATTCATTTCCCCCAATAAGCTCAGGGCTTTAACCTACCCACTTACTTTTAAATCTCTGTTTTTCTCAGGATCAGGGCAGATGCTCTCAGAGCATCAGCTCTGAGAATATTTTTTAGAGTAGTAGGTTCATTGATTCCTGAGCCAAGGCCCAGGAGCTGTTTCCCCGGCTGCCTGCAGGTCTGCCACGCTTGGGGCTCCATGTTGTCTTTGTGTCTAAGCTCCAGGTTCATTTCAGAACATCCTGGAGAATTGGCTTTCTGGTATGAAGTGGAGCCCTGCTAAGCCCAATGAAGGACTGGCCCTTTCTGACAGGAGTGTTTGGAAATTTCCACCCTCGAAGTGAGGATGGAAATTTTGGCTTTGTCAACATCATCTCCTTGCCAGGACTGCTCGCCTGCTGAAGCTTCTCATTTGAATCCCCGCTCCCTAGGGATACAGTCCAGGGACTGGCTCTTCACTCCGTCCTCCCCTTGCCACCCTACTCCCCTCACCCAACCCTGGGAGGAGTTCTCTTTCCCAGAGTATTGACCCAGATTCTCACGTGCCCTTGGCCCTCCTGGGATGGCTGCTGCACTCTCCCCTCCATCTTACCCTGAAGAGTTAAAATTGGAGGAGGAGTTCACTGCTGCCTTTGAGTTATTTTGAGATGCGGTGGGGCTGCTGGCATGGAGTCCTGAGCCAGGAGACGAAGGCCTGCTGTTGTTCACAGGGGAACAGGATGATGTGACTGAGGACAAGGAAAGGCAAAAATAAGGGGAAAATAATGCTGCTGGGTCCTGGGACCTCATGACATTGCCCTGCAGACACTTGATTCCCTGATATATCCCCCAAGGGATCGCACCCTCTCCCTCCCCACGCATCTGCCTATCTCCTACCATGTTACCATCAACGCCTGCACCCTGGGGCTCTCATCCTAATGCTCTCTGCAGCGCAGGCCCTAGAGAGAGGTGCAGCTGGTTCTGCAAGTCCAAGGCTTGCCAAACCCAAGAAGGACACATGCCAAGATCATCCTACTCCAGGACACACCCTGGGCTGGGCATATGCAGCTCCAGACCAAGAAAGGAGGGGAAAATGAAACAAGAAACTTAGGAAAGCTTAGGAAGAAAGAAAGAAAAGTGCCAGCCTCTCTAGTTTTCCCATCGCCACAGAGAAAAGACACGTAGTCTTCTAGAAAGAGCTCTGAACTAGGAGTGAGGAAACCTGAGTCCATGTTCCAGGTCATCACTAAACAATTCTGTGGCCTGTAGCAACTTACTTCACTTCCCTGAAACTCATTTTCTTCCTCTATAAAGTGGCAAATTTGGATTAAACTGAATTCTTGTGTTGGGGATTCCCAGTGTTCCATGGATAACAAAAAACCCATCACTGTCGAGTCGATTCTGACTCATGCTGACCCCATGTGCGCAGAGTAAAACTACAGTCCATAGGTTTTCAAGGCTGTGATCTTTCGCAAGCAGATCACCAGGCCTTTCTTCTGCAGCACCACTGAATGGATTTGAACCGACAACCTTTTGGTTAGTAGTCTGGCACAAATCGTTTATGGCACCCAGGGACCTTCGTTCCGTGGATAGGGTGACATATATTTTACTACCCAAACTAAGACACTGAAGAGTCAAAGGGGGTGCTATTGATAATTATATCAGGACAAGAGACAGGCACTGAGACTCTCCTGGGCATACCCGGTCATATGGCCAACCTATCCAATTCTATGAAATGCTGTAGGTACTTTCTGAAAAATAGAGTTCTGTATAAAATTGATTTGGAAGACCCTGCCTTCTTTCAGCCTCCCATATAGCTCATTTAGGAATGTGTAATGCACTTGAGCGCTGAGAAGTGCTGCAATTAAAACAAAAAACAAACAAGCACATACTTAAACTTTGCTTACTCAGCGTTTCCCAAACTTACTTGATCACAGAACCCTTTCTTTCCCAGCACAGATTTTAATGTCCTTTGAAGTACATTGAATGCATGCTGACTTAGGTAGGGGCCTTTCAGATCTAATGTATCATTATTTCAAGGAATTCCTGTGTTGTTCAGAAACCTCATTTTATTTTATTATTTTTATTCTTTCCCATACAAAAACATATACATACATCGTTATGTGACTCTAATTGCTCTCCCCATACTGTGACAGAACACTCCTCCTTTCCACCCGATTCCCCATGTCCATTCAACCAGCTCCTAACCCTCTCTGCCTTCCCATCTCACCTCCGGACAGAAGTTGCCCATT